AAATGCATTCGTTTTTAAAGCAAACATTTTATCACTAGGGCAAATAACCAATTAGTAAATATGATAAAACCAAAAATTACAAAAATTCTAGATAGGTACTGTTCCTTCCTTCTCTCTCTCCCACCCTCCCTCCTTCTCTCCCTTCCTTCCTCCTTCCCTTCTTCCTTCTTTCGTTCCTTCCTTCCTTCCTTCCATCCAGACTCAAGCTTGACGCCTGCTTTCTTGTTAAAAAGGGGCACCATGCAAACAAAGAGAATGAGCTTAGCTGCATTTGATCAGGGCTCACCAGGGCTGGGCGCTGTCATAAGCACTTTATGCGCATAACTTCATTTGACATTTATTAACAACTGTATGAGGTAGGCTGGTCCCCCCACTCTGCACATGAGAAGCATAGAGAGCAGGGCCGGGATTCAAGTGGAGGCGGTCTGGAGTGAGCGCTCTTCATCACTCCTGCTAATATAAAAGGCCCCCAGAGCAGTGATCATCGCCTGATGCTATGTCCACCTGGCCCACAAGGGGCAGCCCCAGACCCTGGAAAACCTGCTCTCGGAGGGGATCCGCAGCTGACTAGGGAAAGGCTCCCTTCCACACTCATACATGGAGAAATGCTGCGCGGAGGGCCCTTCCCCTCTGCCCTCTCCCCGCTCGCAACGTATATCTGCGCTTCTCAGAGGCCTGCGGCAACAACTGGTTATTTAATGCAGCATTTCCCAAACCTATTTGATCTCGGCACTCCTCTGCAGAGGAGTATGCATTAGTATCTCAGGAGATAACGAATGTCTCATGGAGCAGGTTGAGAAACCTGAATTATTCTCAGTGTTTAGAACGAAATCATTTCATCCAAAGACATTTCTTGCATGTAAAGATGAAAAAGACGCTTCTTACTTGAGCTTAAGCCTTCACATGGGGTTTCTGCTGCCAGGTGGATTTTCTCACACCTTCAAATCCAGGCAACGTTCAAGGATCAGCTGCTTAATAAAATCTCTCCCAGCAACTCTGCGTCCTGGCTCCAGGAGTCAGTGCAAGAGCACCTAGTTCTAGCGGGCGAGGGCCTTCCTCATTCCCACCACCACTGGGTGCTGGGCGCCCGGATGAGGGAACCCCTGGGCTTTTGAACTCAACGCCTGAGCGGCCCCCACTTCTGGAGCACTGTGTATTCAAAGCAAACCCGGAATCAACTTCAAAAAAGTTCACAGTGAGGTAGGCAAATCAGACTGGAGAGGGAACGACAGGTGCTAAATCATTCAGCGTAGCTGTCGCCACCAGTACCTGCGTATCCAGGGCATGCTCAGCAAGTTCGAAGAACTCCCGAGTTTCTTGGTTTAAAAACAACGAAACCAAAACAACGAGGCCTCAAATGACGAGTCATGTTCTCTGTACTACTCTCTTCAGCGGGAAGGGCAGCAGCAGGATGGAGGACTCTCCTGCCCCCCCGGAAAAGGCTGCAGGGGCCCCCTTGCCAAGATTTTTTATTTATTTATTTGACAGAGAGAGAGAGAGAGAGAGAGAGAGAGAGAGAGAGAGAGGGATCACAAGCAGGCAGATAGGCAGGCAGAGGGAGAGGGAGAAGCATGCCCCCTGCTCAGCAGAGAGCCCGATCGGACTGGATCCCAGGACCCTGGGACCAAGACCTGAGCGGAAGGCAGACGCCCAGCCTACGGAGCCACCCAGGAGCCCCGCCTTTGAAAATTCTGATGGCCACACCCAGGTGTCAGTTTCAGGCTGGTAGAGGTGGTAGAGGTGCATCTGGATCAGAGGCCCCCAGAGGCTTCACCTACCTTCTCGGCAGGCCCACACTGAAGGGGTCAGGGTGAGGGGCCAAGGGTGGGCTTTTCTGCCCTCAGTCCCTCCCTGGAGGCCACAGCTCCTGCAGAAGCTGACATTTTCTTTCCCTTGTCTCTGACCCAGTACCTGCAGGTCCGGTGAATACAGACCCCTCCCCACGCCCGGGGCAATATGCACAGGGCGGTGGCCCAGCCTTCTGCTAAGAAAGGACATTAGGAGTAGGAAGGGAAAAATGAAGGGGGTACATCGGAGGGGGAGACGAACCGTGAGAGACTATGGACTCTGAGAAACAAACTGAGGGTTCTAGAGGGGAGGAGGGTGGGGGGATGGGTTAGCCTGGTGATGGGTATTAAAGAGGGCACGTACTGCATGGAGCACTGGGTGTTATACGCAAACAATGAATCACGGAATACTACATCAAAAACTAATGATGTAATGTATGGTGACAAACATAATATAATTAAAAAAAAAAGGGAACTTGCAAACGTGTAGTCGATGCCTAAGTTTGACAGAAGAGTGTAGTGGAGCAGCACCGATAAAGGGTCTGATTGAAGAGAGAGCCCATATTCAAGCGCTGAATCTGCGTCTGAAAAGAGGCATGGTTTTAAACAGGGACCCTTCAGTTTTCCTTCTGGGGACTCAACCCCCCAATAGCGCGGCCACCATCCAACTCCCATTAGCTCAAAAGCGACTCAAATACATAGAAGTTATTCCTAGAACTGAAATGAAAGAAACCAAAAAACAAAAATAACTAAACTCTGCAAATATAATTGCTTCATCATTTCTTTGTATTTTTATTGAACTTTTTTGACTTTTTTAAATTTCTGCTCAGTCAAGACAATTCAAGGGGAAACCACAATTACAATTTACAAACTGTGGCATGAAAAAAGAACACACACACACCCCATCAGGAATTATACCAAACCCTTTCCTTTTTATTCATTCAAAAGAGTCCAATGCACAAATGTCAAATATGAGCACTGTCATTTTTTTTTTTCTCAGAAGGGGGAAAAACATTTTATCCTGGCAGCACTGTTAAATTCCAGGAAGTGGTTTTGATACCACAGGTTGCAGGAATAGAAACCATAACAAACTCGAAGGGCGTTTGTTTGCGAGGCAAGGGACCACTGCGTCTCAAAAGACTCCCCTTGTGCTTTAGTGACCTGCCCATCAGCCTCGGCAGGCTGAGTCTTCCTGGGTATGCAACCGCCTGCATCGACACTGAACATTCCGGTAGAGCAGAGTGTTTTCTGTATCTCCAACCCTCCCCCGACCCTGAAGCAAGGTCTCGAGCTTTTCTGGAGCTTCTTCTGGTCACGTGACCCTCAGTCACAATGACCATTTTGCTAAAACACACGTGACACCAAGATTTCTTCTTACACTGCTTCTCTAGGGTTCAGATGACAGCACAAAACATCACTTGTCAAATAATAGCAGATATTAAGAATGTGGGCATTTATGTTCATAAGAATAACAAACATTTTGCAGGGTATGTCGCCCAAAGGAGCCTTTTTTTTTTTTTTTTTCATTTACTATGGTCCCCTGGGGAGTTAGCCTGAAGTCACATCCTTCAGTGTCTTTGTAAAAGACTGGTCAAGTCAGTTAATCTGACAGTTTAGGAACCGTCTCGTGCCAATTACAAAAGTCCTATGCCCAACAATTCAATGGTCCATAAAGCAATTAAATGTTACCATTTGGCTCACACGCACACAGATGCACGCACGCACACGCTCACACAAGAACTGTGACCAAAGGATTAAGCAGGTGATCTTGTGACTGTGTTCTAAAAGGAAATGAAATCTCAAAATTGAGGTGTCATATTCAAATATCCAAAAATGCAGAAATAGTCTGATCCCATTTGATTTTATGGCCGTGAGAAATCATACTCGTTTAACTGAGGTTCTGGAGTCTCAACTCCTGGGGCACAAAATCTACGAAAATCAACTTGGGATTGTTCACAATGCAACCGCTTGCTAGTTTGTTATTCCTTTTAAAAATACATCAAGACTTTGTATACTGGCATTGCGAGAGTCAATACTTTATAAAAGAAGGAAAAGAATAATACCAGCTGACTCACTTTTCATGCCTTACACTGGTGAGAAACAGTTTGTTTTACACATTTTTCCATCAACACGCAGAGGAGGCAGCCGTAAACAGAGTCCTTTCCATTCTTCAAAGAATGTGTTACTACTGCAGCAGATACGTTTGGCCCCGATTCGGAGTGGATGAGAGAGCAATCTGCTTTGCTTTTCATGTTCCACTCTGTGGAGACTGAACAACAATGGTTTTACTAGTTCTTGGCAGGTGACCATCCTATCAAGGCTCTGCATTTGTAAATAACCAATGTGGGATTATGCTCTCCAGTGAGGCAACTCACTATCTTAAGGTCTGACAGCCAGATGTGGAGGGCTGTCAGAGTGCTCTGCTAAATTTCACAGACTCTGTTGTAGAGAGAGAGAAAAAAAGGACTCGTTAGCAAAGCTCTTTGCACCATTCACAACTGACTCCTGATTATCTTGAGCTATTGAAAGACTCGGGTTTTCCATGGACTCAATGACCCCTCTCTGTCCCTGTCCCCTGAAGAATCCCAACACCAGGCCTCCATCAGCACATCAGCCAGTGACAACTCACTGTCGACATGAAACCCAGCCTGGAGCAAGGACCACTTGGCTCGGTGCCAGCAGACAGGCGGGCAGAGCCACACAGGAATCCCACCAGCCCGCCCAACAGACAGGCTTACAGGCGGGGGACCTTTATTTAAAAGAAGGGGAGGAGACTGCCTGCCGTACACGTTTAAGGTTCTTGCTGATTATCGGCAGCCTCTATGACCCCAGCACTTAATCCGTGGGCAGACAGTTTTTTTTTTTTTAAATCTCAGACGGATTAAAGAATAAAGAATGAACAAAAAGGTCTTATGCTAAAATAAGAAATTAGCCCCATCTCGGCACAGTTCTCATGCAGAATATTGCACCCAGTGTGAACTAACGCTAGAAGCATCAAACTGTATAAATTTAAATGTATTTGCATATTATAAAAATAAAGATAAACATATACATATTTTACACTAGTTACGGAACAGCAATGAACAGTCAGTCGATCCCTCTTTCACATTTAACAGAACTGAAATCTGAGTGCTCAAAACATGGCCACCTATACTGGAACTATGGCTTTAATGTGCACAGAAAACAAAATCCCTGAGAAGCCATTCGACTTTTTTTTTTTTTTTTTTTCTTTTCTTCAAGTAGCGCTCTCCTCGGAGGATCACAGTTCTGAGGTTCGGGTTGTAAAACATTTGCTCTATGTTCTCCCCCAGCCTCCCCCTGCCCCTCCCCACTTCCTCTACAGGCCAGGTGTACGCCCTGCTCTGCAAGCACCCCGAACATCTATTCGCTCAAGTTCACGGAACACGCGCGGGAGCATGGAGAGGGTTTGCCAGGTATGAAAGATGGTCCAGGTGAGTTCTGATGCTCTCTTTTCTCCACGGAAATTCCATAGCCATAGAAGTCATTGGTTTCTGTGCTTTTCACCAACGTTCTTCCTATATGGGTAGATGAGAAGAAAGCAATGACAAAAGGTGACAGGGATGAGATTCTCAATGATAAGAACCAGAAGCGATCTTAGGAATCGGTGTTTCTTTGCAGATTTTAATTTCTACTTCTGGAATTCCTTATAAAAATGTAAATGTCAGGCAACTCATGATCCTTCAAAGGAAAGTGTCTTTTCACTAGAAAGCTGGGCAAATGCTTCTGTTCGTGACACGAAGTTCAGACATAAAGAGGAACTGTACTAATTAGCAATAACCACCTAATCCATTATAATTTCACAGCTGAACTAGATTTCTAATCAAGAACCCCAAACTCTAACCACAGCCCTGGGTCCTCTCAAGAAACATCCACGGATACACACACACACACACACACACACACACACACACACACAAGCTAAATAACCCTCTACAGGTAGGAGTCCATACTGAAAAGTGAGAACTCTCAGTTTAGGATGTCTACCTGGCCTAAAGCGTTAAAAGGCAAGACTGTCAAACTAAAAGCCAGAGTCAGATGAATAGAAAATGAAGAAACTCCTGCATCGCCACCTAATTAAGCAGAGTGGCATTCAATTCAGACCAAGTGGTTAGAAGAAAAAATGTCAGAGGTCCCCATCCCTTATATCGGCTTTCCTATAATGACACGCAGACCCTCCACCCTCCATCTCTATCAGTGCTGCTTGATTTTAAGGAGACTGAGCATAATATTAGCTACTTTACCAAAAAACTGCACCTTCCATTTACTAGCTACTCACTACGCGCCAGGAATCACACCACTCACTGCAGTGCATTATTTGATTAAGCCTCAATTCGTCACGTGCCCTCGAAGTAAGCCCATCCTACTCTGCATTCACCAAGAAGGAAATTAAGGTTCCAAGAGGGTAAAGAACTTGCCTGTGGGGGACACACCAGTGCGCAGCAGGGCCTGTCTTTAATGAGGGTTATTTGACTCCCAAGCACGCTGGACAGCTAAAAGCAAGGCTGGGACGTTCAGGGCCCTAGGGATCGTTTCGTGTTTCTCTGGCACTCAGCCCTGAGGACTTTTTGAAGGCCTATTATTAAACTTCCCAGTAGAGAAAGTTTTGAAAACTGCCTCAAATTCAAGTAATAATATAATAAATCTAACGGTGAAGAGGATGGCAGTGTGACAACTCACGTCTCCACCAAGCAGTTACCTTTGGCGGTTTGAGCTCTGGGTTTGGGAGGGGGGTGTGCTGGGCAAATGTCTTTCTCACTGACTCCAACGAGCCTTTGGAAACACAGACAGTTGTGTCTGGCTGTCTGTTCCCCTGAGCCACACGTAGGACAGAAACACAAGAATGTCTACGCAAGGGCACCCAGAGGGAATCGTCCACTGTTTAAGAGAGAAAAAAGGAAAACCAGTTTGAGTATATTTCCACATTGATACCACTTTTCGTGTTTAGGCTCTTCAGGAAAAAAAAAGAGCCATCACATCACCAACCTTCCCCACCTCACACTGCTTCTCCATCCCAAAAGATCCACCTCGAATGCCACTTCCTAGAACTTTTCTTGATCCTTCCTGGTAGAGTTCTTTCCTCTCGGTGCCTCCAGGACTTTGTTGATACACCCACTGCAGCAGGGATCACATTTTAATTGTAACTGGACTCTCAAAAGTTTGTTTGGTTGAGTCTCTGATTCCCATTCTCCCCAAAGAGACTCTTAGATTCATGAGGGCAGGGTCTATCTGCCTATTTCTGCAGCCTCAGCACCTGGCACGATGCCTGGAGGGTAAAACCTCAACAAAGCCCTGCTTAGTGAATAATGAATAAGATGCGATGAGAAAGTCACAGGTGAAAAACAGCCAAGATACTACGAGACCATTACTGTCATGGAGGTGTGTAAGAAGCGAGGCAAAGGGTGATTACAGGTAGAAGGGTTGAAGATGGTGTCTCAGGGGAGCTGACACGTGACCTTGGCCTTAGGGACAACGGGCCTTCACCGGGTAGGAGAGGAGGGGTGGCAGCTCGCCATGGGCTGAGAGCCAGCCAGGCGTGCCCTATGGTGGACCCCTCCCTCCCACAGTAAGGGAGTGTCGCACATGTCAGCAGGGTGGCTGGGGGCTGTGAGTCATGCCCAGGGGTTTAAACTCGAGTCTATAATCATCAGGAAGCCATTTAAGGCTTTTAAATAGAGCAGTGGCAGGGTCCAACGTTGAAAGATAACATTGGTTTGAAGGAAAAGAAGATTAGAGAGACGGAGGCCAGTTGAGACTCAAACACAGGTAGCCTGGTAGGGACAGGTGCATCTAGGGGAAAGCACGGCGGGTCAAAGAGAAAGTTGTCTAGCCCAAGGTACTCATGTCGAGGCACCCTGAAAAGACAGGAGAAGAGGCCTCAGCGGAAGGCTGGGCGGGGGGAGGCCTCAGCGGAAGGCTGCCTGGGGGGACGAGGGAGAGGGCGGCCTTGCAGCTGACAGACTCCTAGTTTGGCAGTGGGTGCAAAGCAGTGGCGGGAGGCACAGACTGATGCAGAACATGGAGGGGGAAGACCCTAATTCGCACCTACAAAGCCTACGGGACCTCCCAGGGAGATGCAGTGGGATGCCGGCAGGAGAGGTCAGCACGGAGGCTCAGACCCACGGTCCTCTCGGGTTATTGAACCTGCTCTTCCCAGAACACAGCACAGTTCTTCAAGGCAGTTAGAAGCTTAGGCTGAAACTGAAGCTATCCCATGTTGTACTAACCAGGTCTTTTATTTTCTGTTTTCTGATGCTTTGTTATCTGGGCCCTGGCTGCCCCTGGCAGGACCGCCCTCCCAGCGTTAGGCAGTTCCCAGAGATAGCACACAACTCCAGTATGAGTGTGCCTCTCAGTACAGACCAACTCTGCAGAGCGCACACCCTGCGGGCCACCTCCTTTATCAGGCTCCAACAGCTCAGGCTGCTCTCTATCTGCCCTCCTCACTCCAGGGCCATGTACCCGACACGCACCGACTGCCCCCACGTCCCACAGCCCGCTGAAACTACTCAGACTGGCCATGCCCGGCCAGCACCTTCCCCCGGAAAGCACAGTACAGGTTCCTGCCCAGTTCCTCCCTCTCTGCCTCATGCCCGAGCCCTGACCTGCTGGCCTTACTATACCTCCAACGTTCTGTTATTACACTACATTCTAAAACAAACGTGTAAGTAAGAACTTGGTGTGAAAACGGCGCTGAACCTGGGAGCTATGACGTGGGTTTGAGGCCCAGCTGCGCCGCTCGGTACCTGCGGCTGTCAGAACGTGGCTTGGTCTGGAGCCCAGAGCTCCCTGCCCTGTGTGACCTACAGGGTTGGTGGAGCATATGAGTTAGGGGGCTTTGCTCTGACGGGTTCAGCAAGCACCACAGGCATTTGTGATCGTGATATGAAAGAAATACCACTCATCTCCTCTTTCTCCCATGAAGATGGGGTTAGGACACTGCAGGGGGCCTTAGACACAGATCCTCCGGGGTGAAGGGGAAGGTAAGCCAACATTCTTCCCTACCTACCTGGCACACACGTTTACCTTCCTTGCGCAGGCACCTCAGTTAAAAAACTAAACGTTGCTAGGCAAGTCAGTGAGCACATTTCATTCTAGGATCTAGATTATCTAGGTTTGCATTTTGAAATTTTGTCTTTTAGGATTACCTTGACAGGCCACCCACAGTGCACACCACTAACATTCCTGGTAGAAAAAGCAGCAACTGAGTTTGTTGAGCGCTGTGCACTCTGTAAGGCATCGTGCCAACCATTCCCCTCACAACGGTCTCTAAATGCTCACAACAACCCCACAAGACAACCGCTTCTGGAACCTGCATCTGCCAGAGGTCTATAGTCACAGCACCAACAAGTTGCAAAGATTCGAACTCAGGGAGCATAACTCTGGAGCCCAAACTGCCTTGAGAAAATAAATGCAAACACTACTTTTAAAAAGCTATTTGCTGTGTGGATCCACTTGAGATTTTCCCCCGATATGACAGCCGTGCATAATACATTTTTTTAAATGACTTCTTTTTTTCCAGCAAGGAACTAAAATGACTAATGCATGCAATATCATAGTTTTAGGCAAAAGAATCAGGCAGTTTCCTTATTCTTAATCCCCAAAGGCTTCTTGATTGGGGATAAGCAAAGGATTTGTAATTTTGAAATGCACTGCTGTATAGGATCTCTTCATCCCAAACCCCACCCCAACCCATTTTCCCTCTAAACTCTTGAGGCCTTAGGAAGCCCTTATCTATTTAAGAAACCCTCTCTGCTTCCCAGAGACTTACCCTTAAAAATTGGTGCTCCTAAAGTCACAGATTGGGTACAGAAAAATGATGACATAGGGGAAAGAAGCACTATCTTTTCCACTTAATTTTCCAAGAAAGTATGGAGATACCTAAGCAGAGAGGAACAAATTCTAATATCAGTGTGGCTGACGGGGCACTAAATAATCCAACAGACACTATTTCTCCTGGCGCTTGAAAGCAGCAAGGCAATGAGCTGTCTCACTCCTTACAAAAAACACAGCAAATCAACGTGATACACTCCCTAGGCCACCTCCACATTGAGCTCCCTTTCTTCCGAAATACCATCCCCACCCGTCGTGCTTTACAACTCTGTGGTCAGTAGAAGATTCTCCCATCGTTATAAAGCCAAATTCATGTTGCTCCATTGATTTCATAAAAAAAAAAAAGAAAGAAAGAAAATGATCAAGTTCATACTAACTAATCTGAGTGCAGTCTAATGTATTTTGCTTGTTTATCTGATGAGATAAAGGGCATAGAGTCTCCATCCTACTTTTCATAAAAGGGCTGTTTCCATGGGTCTTAAATATCCTTATGTCATAACAATGGAACTGCCAAAATTCCTATGTGAGGTCTTCACTATATCTTTGGGACTACTTATAAACAGTAAGAAGCTGGAATTTACCAGGGTCTTGCTTGAATGGGAATGCTACAGTATGTACACAATGACCCCAGTTTAAAAGGTAGTTCTGAAACGCAGTGTCTCGGCCCGGCCTTTCATCCTTAGTT